CTTCTATGTATTCAGCTACAAAGTAATGAGAAAATGTGGTTCAAAATGCCCATTATAAAAGTCTGGCCCATATAAGTTATAATTACCATTTATTTATTGAGCACCTACTATGTGATAGGCATCTTACATATGCTGCATCCTCACAAACCTCCTGTGACTGTGCCAGCCCTGGGTCTGTTTGCCTCTGACCCCTCCTCTGCCCTGGAGAGCAGGGGCTGACCTGGAGGCTGCCCCTCTCAGGCTCAGGGGTGCTCTGGCTTCCTGTTGGGTATGGCCAGTGGAGGCACCAGTGGCAGGTGGGGGTAGAGGGAAGGAGGAAGGTAGAGCACATCCTCCCTCTTTCTCTTCATGGAGCACCTCCTCCCATTAGTGACTGCATCTCCATGGCTCCAGCTCCCGCTGTTTGAGTCTTCCATGTTACCTGGTGACCCTGGCTCCTGGGTAACACTGCCCCTTCCCTTTGTTCCTTCAACTGCCTGCTGCTTATTGTTGCTAATCTGTGGATTACCTCAGGGTCCTATCCTGTACCACCTTACTCCAACGAATTCGTCTTTTTAAAGCCATCCCAATTTAAGATCTTTACACTGTTGATTTTGCCGTCATCGCAGCAATCTGCAAATCTTAGCTTCTCTATCACCATCAACATGGATTTCTATCTTTATCACTGCAATCAGCTCCCTGCACTACATTCCTTCTTTTGCTAGTACTTGGCGCAGTTTCTGTTTCTCTGCTTAGCCGCTGATGGATGGATTGAGATAGAAATCATAAGCCTTGTTTTACTGACAAGAAAACAGAGGGTCAGTGTTAACTGACTGGCCCGGTCTTAAAATAGGAAATAGTGGCACTTGGGGTTAAGCTCAGGCCTGATCAATGCTGAAGCGTGTGCCCTTTCCCCACAATCAGCCTCTCCGTTTCCTGGTGCCACACAAACCAAGTGTAACTCCTCCTGTTTAATCCCTTCATATTCTGGGAAAAGAAAACTTTCATAATCTCCAAGATTTCCCAAGATGAAATGTTCTCTTCCCTTCAACTGCTCCTCATGAAAATGAAGTTTGAGTTTCTCCTAACATCCTGGTTGAATATTCTAGATGAATGCTTTTTAAACTTAAATGTGAAGGTTATGATTCAGAGTGCTGGAGATCATGCACACTTGTTTTTAATTAGACTTTTTTTTAGGGGTGGGGGGAGAGATAATTTCAGAGTTACATGCATTGACAAGAATTAATATAGAGATCCTATGTTCCATTTAACCCTAATAGTAACATCTTGCAAAACTATAGTACAATATTACAACTGTAATTTGACCTTGATAGAGTCAAGACACAGAACACTTCCTTCATCACAAAGATCTCTCTGTTGCCTTTTTATAGCTACACTACCTACCCTTCTAATCTCACTCTTTCCTTAACTCCTCATTTGTTACCAAATTAGAAACTACTCATTTGTTCCCATTTCTATAATTTTGACATTTCAAGACTATTATATAAATGAACTCATGCAATATGCGACCTTCTGGGATTGAGTTTTTTTCACTCAGAATAATTTTCTAGAGATTCCTTCAGGCTGTTGCATGTGTTAAATGTATGTTCCTTTTTTTCTTGCTGAGTAGTGTACCATGGTATGGATGTACCACAGTTTATTTGAATATTCACCCATTGAGGAAGTTTGAGTTGTTTCCAGTTTGGGGCTATTACAAATAAAGCTGCTATAAATATCTGTGTGGGTTTTATGTGGGCATAAATCTTCATTTCTCTGGGACAAATCCCAAAAATGCAATTGCTAGGTCTATTTGCAGATGGTCTTTCTGATCTCTCGCTGATCTATAGCTAAGACATCCTTTTTCTCAGGCTGCTTTCAAGATTTTTCTTCTTTGTTTTTTATTTTCAGGAGTTTAATGAGCTTGTTTGGGATTTGCTCAGCTTCTTGAATCTGTAGGTTTATGTCTCTTGTCAAATTTGGATAATTTACAACCATTATTTCTTTTATTGATTTTTCAGTTCTGCCTATTTTCTCCTTCTCTTCTGGGGATCTGAATGTCATATATATATATATATATATATATATATATATATATATATATATATATATATATGGTCTCATAGATCCCTAAGTCTCTGTTTAATTTTCTTTTTTGGTCTATTTTCACTTTGTTGCCCCACTGAGTAAGTTCTATTGTTCTATCTTCCAGTTTACCAATTCTTTCCTTTGTCCCTTCCATTCTGCTATTTGAGCCCATTTACTAATTTTAATTTGGTTATTATACTTTTTAATTCTAAAATTTTAATTTTTTTAAATGTCTCCTATTTCTTTACTGGGATTTCTTTTTATTTCCTTGCTGAGGATTCCATGTGTTTTGTTTGTTTGTTTGTTTGTTCCCATTTGTTTCAATTCACAATTGCTCATTGAAGTGTTTTTATCATGGCTGCTTTAAGTCTTTGTCAGATAATTCTAACATCTCTGTCATCTTGGTGTTGACATGTATCGACTGGCTTCTCATTACTGCTGCCTGAGAAGCGGACTTCTGGTCCCATCTGTTCTCCACTGACATTGTGTTGGGGCTTGTAACTAGTGGAGGTGATGAAGGATGGGAAAATGTTTGAGAGAAAAAAAATAGATGTGTATATATAAATTATACACATAGATATATACATGTGTGTACAATGTACACCTGTATGTTTATGCATATACTCCTTGTGTATATATATTTCACAAATACAGAGAGTAGGGGACAAGAGGAGAAGAAAGGGAGAGACAAAGTTTAAGGTAGTTTATTTCTATATAGATATAGATATAGATGATATAGATATAGATATAGATATAGATATAGATATATAAATAAAATCTCTTTTATCTATCTATCATCTATCTAATATCTATCTATCTATCTATCTATCTATCTATCTATCTTTCTTTCTTTCTTTCTTTCTTTCTTTCTTTCTTTCTTTCTTTCTTTTTTTCTATCTGTCTGCCTGTCACTATAGAGAGAGATGGAGATCAGTCAATAAAGGGAAGGTGAAAGAGAGATAAATCATTGATGGAATGGAATCTTATAGGAAGAAGGAGGAACTTATTTGATTAAAAGCACAGGTAAAATCTTCCTTAGAGATGGGAGGGAGAAAGGTCAGGATCAGATGAAACAGGGGGAAATTATAATTCATGGAGGCTGGCCCCAATTTTCTCTGGGAAGATGGGGCACATCAGAGAAGGGGACTGGAAGAAAGAGGTAGAGGTTTGGTACATTTCCTCTTGAAAATGAGAAAGTGCCATGCCAGGGACATGTAGAGTTTCCTAGCAACACAAGGCCTCACTGAGGATATAAGCCAAACATTTGCAATGATGCAAATAAGAATGATTTTTTTTTTTTCAGAAGCACTCAGCCTGTGGGCAGGAAAACGGGCAGATGAGGGCTGGAGGGGTCCTGTGCTTAGGCCTGAGGGGTGGGGGGAAGGCAGCAGAAAGGTCCTAGTAAGAGCCGAGTGCGGTGTAGTTACAGTAGCCAGGCTGTGCAGAGAAAAGTGATTGTAGGATAAGACTTGTATCCTGGGTGAGCTGGAGAGTATAAGGAGCCAGAGATCTCAGACAGGTTGGGAGCATGTTTACTTTGATTCCAAGAGTGAAAGGCAGAAGGATGGTAGTTCTGGTTGGAGAGTGGGATTTCTAAGTGTGAGTCATTCATTCATCAACTGTCACTCAACATCAGCTCTGGGCACTTACTGTGAGGGACTCTGGGAACACAGAGATGAACAAAAACACAGTCTCTGACCTGAAGGAGTTCACAGCCCAAATTCCAGAGTCAGCACTTTGCAGGTGACGACAAGGTCCAGGATATGTCCCTGGAAATGGTTTGCTGCAGTGGGCTGGGGGGAAGGTTGGCCGAGCCAAGGGAGCCAAGCAGCTGGCGGGCCGGCGTGTTGGATGTGTCATCCACAGGTGTTTGTCAGTCCCGCAGAGAAAATCGGGTTTCCCTCTGCTCAGTTGGGGCCCACGTGTATCCTCTTTCCATCCTGTGCTGTGGGAGCTATTTTTCACCGAAGCCCTTGCATCTCAGACTCTGTGTGGCCATGCTGGGGTCAGTCCTTAGGGCAGTTTTCCTTAGTGTGGGGTGGAGGCTGAGCACGGCTCAGAGAGCTGCTTCCACTCTTTGTTGCACGAGCCTCCAAAGAACTCCCAGGGCTGTGCTGCAAGTGTCCTTCCTTCACTTCTTCACCAGTAACATGGCGATAGGAAGGTGTCCTTCCTTCACTTCTTCACCAGTAACATGGCGATAGGAATGCGCCTGCAGGAGCATTAGGCGATAGGAAGGTGTCATCCTATCGGTACTTATCAGCGGGGATAAGTACCTATAAAGACGCAAACAAACCATCAGCAGTCGGATGCTGTGGGAGTCAGCAGGAAGCAGTGATGATAAATGAATGAGCGTGTCTGGGTGGGACCCAGGCCTCCCAGAGGCCCCACTGGCTTCCCTTGCTGGGTGAGCAGAGGCCTTGAGACTTCTGGATGACAGGCCCAGGCTGCAGGAATCCACGCATCGGCATTCCCAGGTTTCTCATGCCCACACTTCATAAGACTTCATTTCATGGCCCATCTGGGCATTGCTCTCTGGGAACTGAATCCCCTCCCTTCCTGTTCCAGACAGGCTGTCCTCAGACTTCACTGACGAGGGCCTATGTGGACACATCCCACTCTAGCTGTTTTGTGGGTTTTGGCTGACAGGAGGGAAGAGGAAGCATGTGTCTTTGATCTTTTACCCGTTGCTTTCCTTTCTGCTATGGCCTTGGGAGGTCGGTTTCTCTGGCCGTCTGGTTCAAATTCCAGGTTTAATTGGCAGTGGGCTTTGCCCTCTCAGGGCTGGTATCCCATCTCTATAGGGATCCAGACAAACATCACCAAGGCACTCTGCTCAGCGGTTCATGATGACACCAGGTGCAATGCGTGCTGTGACCTCCTGGGCGTGTGATGCTCTCTGATGGTTGTTGTGCATTTTTTCTGTTTTCTTTCAGAGCCCGAGAAGCCAACGGGGGCCAACCAAGTTTCGGGACCTGTACTGCTGGGTACTAATGTCACCAGAGATGAACTGTTCTTACCAGAGATTCCTCTGTTCCTGACAGCACACCTCCCCCAGGTAGCTAAGGGGTAATGAGATTTCTTACCAGCCTCTGCACACTATGATGTAATAAGACAGTTCCCTGCATGGGGGCTTACATACCAGGGGTGCTCACTGTTGATACTGCAATTTAAGATGAAATGTATCATCACGAGGTACATTTCATTTTATACATTCAGTGATTACACTCGATGTAAATGAATCGAGAGAAGATGAATTTGCAGCATTGGAAATGAGGTTACCTTTAACATGAAAGCCAGTGAAAAATAGCATACAATGCATGCAATCAGCCATTCAATCTAGAAGGCAGTACCCATAGGATGGGTTGTTATCTTCATCAAGGAGACCAGCATGTGTTCAGGAAGGCAAAATTCTGAGACGTGAGCCATCTCTTTTCAATCATGTTGCAGTTTGTCAGCAATTAGGTGAAGGAGCTTTGGGTCACAGATGAAAGGAAGCTGTCAGAAGGGAAGATTTATAAGAATTGGTAGGCTCTGTCCAATGAGAGCATGCTGTGATGCTGGTTGACTGGGCCTAGAGTTTTCTCTAGACCTGATTTTTTCCCCAGAATAGTGTAAGATTAACCAAGGGGTCGTCACTAGAAGAAGAAAGCCCTAGCTTTGGAAATCTACAGCTCCTTAGTCCTAATTTTGCCCTCACCAAGATAATCCCCAGGGTCACATTATCTGGAGGAGGACTTGATCTAGATCTTGTGGCAGGTGGCTCTCCAGTTATCCTATATAATAAAAGGCTAATATGCAAATTGTCCTTTCCACTGGGAGTTCAACCAGGGGATGGCCCCTCCCCCCGGCTGGCCCCACCCCCATCAGCCCCGATAGGGGTGGGCTGGCTGGACCCTACCTGTGCACGAATTCGTGCACCAGCTTCTCGTGAATGAATAAGCTGGGATTGGTTGATGTTCTGTTCTCTTGAGGGCTTGGTTAATGTGAGTTGTTCTCCCAGAACCTGTTCACTCTGGTTGCTGGGAACACTGAGTTGCTGGCCCAGGGCTTGGATTTGTGATACCCTGATCAAGGCTACCAGAAGCTGCCATGCAGCCTGTCTCTCTGACACATTTCTGATTGTATTGGTGATGTGCATGAGGTTCGTAAACACTGAGGGGCACTTAGACTGGTCAGTGAAGTAATGATGTTTGTTCTAGAACAGGGTTTCTTAACCTGAAGATATTAATATCTTGGGCCAGATAGTTCTTTGTTGGTGGGGGGAGGGCTATTGTGCATTGTAGAATGTTTAGAAGTGTCCTTGCTCCCTACCCACTAGGTGCACATCAACCCTCACTGCAATTGTGGCAGCCAAAAATGTCTCCAGACATTGTCAAATGTTCCCTGGGGGGCAAACTGCCCAAAGTTGAGAATCACTGTTCTAGGAGCTATAGCCAGTGACAAGGAGCTTCCTTGAAGAATAGAGCACAAAACTGCACTTTGGGGTGGATCAGTGCTTCATGCCCCTTACCTTTATATTGGTAGATGTATTAATCAGGGTTCTCCAGAGAAATAGAACCAGTGGGATGGAGATTATATATATAATTATTTTTTAATCCTCACCCAAGGATATTTTTCCATTGATTTTTAGAGAGAGTAGAAGAGAGAGGGAAAGAGAGAGAAACCATCAATGTGAGGGAGACACATCGACTGGTTGCCTCTTGTACGTGCCCTTGAACAGAATTGAACCTGGGACCTTTTGGTCTGCAGGCCAACGCTCTATCCACTGAGCCAAACCGGCTAGGGCTATATATGGATTTATTATGAGGAAGTGGCTCATGTAATCACAAAGGCTGAAAAGTCTGAGTCTGCAGGCCTGCGAGCCAGGGGAGCTGCTGGCCTGAAGCCCAATCTGAGGGCCAGAGAAGATGAGATGAGATGGGATGTCTCAGCCCAAACAGTGAGGCAGGAAACGAGGAGCAAATCCCCTCTTCCTCCACCTTTGGATCTATGCAGGCCCTCAGCAGATCGGATGGTGCCCACCACGCTGGCGAGGGCCATCTACTTTCGTGAGTCCATCAATTCGAATCCTAATCTCATCCGGAAACACCCTCACAGACACACCCAGAAATAATGCTTGATCTGGACGCCCTATGGCCAGTCAAGTTAACGCATAAAATTAACCAGCACAGTAGGAGGTGATGTTTTCATTAGAGGGCAAACCGCCAGTGGGAAATGTGCAGAGCTACCTGGAGCTGTTCCACGACTCCTAAGGGAGGGCTCAGGGAGAAGAAGGGCTGAAGCACAGGGTTTGGGGTTCTTCACTTCTCTGACTTCTCATTGACTTGTCTCATTGGCAGCTCTCCCGAACAGGAGCTCCTCTGCCCAGTGTTGCCCTCGGTCTTGGTGTCCTCCCTCAGGTGCTCTGAGCCAGTTGGAGAACGAACTGTATAGCAGGGCCAGCGAGGAGTGCTCTCCTGCCCTCGATCAGATTTATAAAGGAGGCACTAAGCGAAACTCCACCTGGGCCTGTGCTGTTAGAGCATTTGAGTGCTCAGGCTGAAGCGGGTCACAGATCTACTGGGCAAACTCTGCTGGGCATCTTGTACAATGAGACTTTGATTCCGAGGGTCTTGGGTGGTGTCTAGGATTATGCAGATCTAACAAGCTCTCCAGTGGTGTCAATGCTGCTGGTCCTTGAACTGTATTTGAGGAGTAAGAAGTAGACCGGAGGTCTGGAAACTATGGTCCGTAGGCCAAATTGGGTCCACTTATTTTCAAAAATAAACTTTTATTGGAACACAGCAGTACTTACTCATTTACATATTGTCTGTGGTGGCTTTTGTACCACAATGACAAGGTTGAGTAGCTGAGACAGATTCCATGGCCCTCGAAGTTTGAAATATTCTCTGGCCCTACAGTAAAGATGTCCTGACCCCTGCTCTCGAGGCTGACTTTTGCCACTGTGTCCTGATTATCTTCAGGGTGGACCACCTAGAGGTTGTTTTTCTTCACCCTTGGCCTGCTTTCTTTTCCCTCTTCCTCCTGCCTCTGGCTCTTGCAGGCCTCTCGGTTAGCACCTGGGGCATGAGGAGAGGCAGGAAGAATTTCTGTGCCACTTAAAGCTTCCATCTTGCACGTGGTCCTCTCATAGACCTGAGGAAGTGCTCTACTTGGCACCCAGCTCATTCACTTAGTCCCTGTATCCTTTTAGAGTTCAAGGCGGCTCACCCTCAGACCTGTTCAGAAATATGCTCTGAGACTTAAGCATACACAGCTCAGGCCTAATTGTTCTTTCTGTTTTCCAGCCAGCAGGTCAGCTAGAATTCACTTAGAACCTCCTTTCATTAGCACTGAGTTAGGTGCTTGAGTAAAAGGATTTATATGATGCCTCTGCAGTCTTGGGGACAGACATGTAAACTGATCATTCTAATTAGTATGCCATAGGTGCACTATTAGAAGAATATTTGGATACTTTGATAGCAAAAAATAGAAAGAGTCAGAAGGATTTGGAGCTTCACTGCAGTAGACTTTTTTTAAATTATGAAATTTTATTAAATTTTACACAAACATTTTTGCATTTATTGATGCAATATGTTTTTATCTATAATCTATAAATGTGATAGATTTTAACTACTTGCTATCCAATTTTTGATATGTGAGATAATATTTTTTTCTAAAAATCAAGACATATTCATAGTCTGATATAAATTAGAATGTTATTGTCTTCAACTGTAATATCACTACAAAATAATTCTGATACCATTCCTGTTAACACCAAAATCTGATATCAGGATTCATTATATGAATTAATATTCAAAATTTCCTGTTGTGCATCATCATCACCTTATTTTTTATTAATTTTAAAATTTGTGGAAAATACATGTAACATAAAATTTACCATCTTAACCATTTTAAGTGTATAGTTCAGTGACATTAAGTACATTTACATTGTTGTGCAACCACCATCCATCTCCAGAATACTTTTCTTCTTACAAAACTGAAAGTTTGTACTCTGTACCTATTAAACAATAACTTCCCATCCCCCTCTGACCCTCACCACAGACAACTACCATTCTACTTTCTGTCTCTATGAATCTGATTTTTCTAGGTACTACTTCATATAAGTGGAATCATACAGTACTTATTCTTTTGTGATTGGTTTATTTCACTTAGCACAGTGTCCTCAGGGTTCATCCATGTTGCAGCCTATGTCAGAATTTCCTTCCCTTTTAAGGCTATGAGTAGTATATACCACATTTGGCTTATTCATTCATCTGTGGCTGGACTACACTGTTTAGCTTTGAAATAAGCTTTGAAATCAGGAAGTGTGAGATTTTTAACTTAGTTCTTTTTCAATATCATTTGTCTATTTGAGATTCCTTGAGATTCCATGTGAATTTTAGTATGGACTTTTCTATTTCTGCAAAACAAATCATTGGGATTTGGGGACTGCCATAGGACTTTTGAATTCTCTCTTAAAGGAAACATTTGCCACACAGGTGAAGGGAGGTGGGCATTTTAGGCCAAAGAACGAGCACAACCAAATGCACAAAAAGATAAAAGGGCTTGATGTATTTGGGGCACTGAAAAAAAAATCTGAAATTTTTGGAGCATTAGGCAGGCTTGTATCTCTGTATATATGTGTGTAGCTGTAGACTCTGGTAGGAGATGAATTGGGAGCTGAGGTAAGGATCCGATTTTGTGGAAGTGGATGTGTGTTGTATTAAGTGTAATGGGGATTAGTGAAAGGGTTGGGCGGTGGAGCGAAGTGGTCAGATTTACACATTATCAAGATGACCCTGTTGGTGAAAGTGGGTGCTAGATGGAGCAGGAAGTAGGTGTTGGCCAAAGGACTAGGGGAGGAGACTGGTGCACAACTCCCAGAAATGAAATGATGAGATTTGCTCTAGGGTAGAACGAGTGAGAAGAGATAAGAGGGAACAGGTCTGAAATAGCCTGGTCCCTCTATAGGTAGAATCATGAAAATGTGGGCGGGCCCTAGCGCCCAAGTTCTTGGGGCATTTTAGAGTGGGAACCACGTTGGCAGGTCTGGAGTAGCCAGCTCAGACTCATTGCCAAGGACACACATTTGGTGATCTGTGGGATGAGGCAAGCTGATCAAAGTACACAGGTGCAGTGGGTGCAGGGGAAGCAGAGCCTGGCCGAGAGCCAGCGGGGCGTGGGGTTACAGGGCAGTGATTAAAGTGACCGTGGGCAAAGGCAAACAGGGAGAATACAATAAAAAGTACCAGGAAAGGTGAGGGAGGAGTGCTAAAATGTAAAGTTGGGAAGATACAGGGAAGAGAAAGGAGAAAGGCCAGGCAAAACAGAGACGTAAGGAGGTGCTCCCTTCCTGGAAAGCCAAGAAGCTCGCCAGAGCAAAGAGGACAGGACCTAGATGCCTGGTGGGAGGCTGGCTGGCATTTAGGAGACTAGCTCTTTGTTTTGGGCCCGGGCTACCTAGAACACAGCCTCAGGACAGCGGACTGTGTTCTCACCACTCACTTTGTGTTTCCAAACAGAAGAGAAGAGAGGGAGGGGCCACACTGATCCCGCTGAAGCATCTCCGGGAGGCGCCTCTGGATGCCACGTGGAGGCTGCCCTTCCGCCGCAGCACCAGCACGGAGCCTCTGACTGCCCAGCGCAGGGACATGGCTCTACTCAGCAGCATCCTGGCCACCTATTCCTTTGTCTCAGGTAGTTCTGCGGTCTCGGCTGGGCCAGGGCTGAGGCCTGGGGCTGGATCCAGGGGGCATCCAGGAGAGAAATGCTGTGCAATGAGAGCAGAGGGGCTCTGCTGTGCTGAGTTTTGAGATGAAAGGTCCTGTGGTTGAGAGTGAAGTATGGCGTTCTCTAATTGGGCAGATGGGGTGACAAGAGCTTATCTTGCTGAAAATGTTTGGTTTCCTTTTGGGCTTAAAAGAGGGAGTGAAGTAGCTTGGGGCTATTGTGTGCATCTTTTACATTTAACTCTGATGTGAAAGACCTGGATGGAGTATCCTCAGCCTGGCCATTTCTGTGCAGTGGTTCTCAACCCCACCCAGTGTGCGTGTGCGTGTGCATGTGTGTGCATGCATGTGCATATGTCCTGCGTTCCAGGGCTGTGTGAGGTGTTTCATAACCTTCTGGGAGACATGGAGACAGAAGGTGTGTGGGTCTGAGACAGAAGGTGTGTGGGTCTGGGAGAGTCTGCTATTTGTCCCATCCCTGGGTCAAAGTTGTTCTCTTTTCGGAGGATGGCTGACTTTCTGCTCAAGATCATTTCTTGGGAACAGATGCTCTTCATCTGGAGTCATTTAAAAACACATGGAAATATACCTGAGTCAAGCTGACATTTAGAAAAAATACATGAGAATGCTTACTGGTTTGAATGACCGAACAGATTTCCTACTGCTTGAGTGTGTTTTTAATTGTTTGCTGGTTTGATTTTACTTCGTTCAGCTTCACCTGAGCTCTCTGGATGTTGCATAGAAGGAAAGGGGCTGGAGTTCCAATTGATATCCTCTGGGCGAGGACTGGCTTTGCTTTCTAGTTCTCTAACCAGGGTCGGTATGTGGGGACTTCAGAGTTCAGACGCAAAGCCTGGCATTTCGACTTACAATGTAAACTGTGAGCCAGGGTTGGGGATAAGGGAAGCTCGTGGCTTCTCTTTGTGAGATGATCTTGGATGACGTGCAACCTGATTTTAGGAAGGAGGGCTTCTCAGGGCATACTGGGCTGGCTCCTTTCCGTTTCGCAAGATGCAATATGTAGTCCGCACGAGCCTCCAGTCCAGGCTCCTCCCGTCTCGGATCAGCAAAGACCCGGGCCCTCACTCAGCTCCTTGCCTCCCCAGTGCCTGGGGCCTCCCTTCTCTGGTGCCCACCATCAGAGGCATCCCAGCTTTGCTCTTGCTTCAAGGCTATTCTTGGGGAAAAGGACACTGGGGTTGGAAAAGAGATGTTTGAAACCCTGGCACCATGTTTTTACAAGCAATTGAATATGGTCCCTCAGCTCTATAGTGAAGACACCCCCGAAATGAAGTGTGTGTCAGAGAGGGTCTGGAGTTTTCAAGGCCTCAAAGGACACTTGCAAATCAGCTGTTGCAAGAAAATATCTCTGGTGAGAGCAAACAGGGTACTGGACTTTGGAACTCTTCTCGGCACAGGAGGTTCCTGGCAGCCTTCCATTTTGGCCAGCAGGGCCCCGAGTTGTGACCATCGAGCGTGGTAACTCATTGAATAGCTTGGTGTTTACCGGGTGTCTTGTGATCTTGTTAAGGCTGAAAGGGTGCTTGGCCCTGTTTTGCTCTCTCTTCAACTTTTCTCCTTCCCACCCCATATTCTGGAATTAAATACTGCTTGAGATGCAGGAAGACAATGCTTCTATTAAGTGAGTATGGGCTAAGATAAAAAGAGATTACAAGGCTATGGAAAGTTGAGTGGCTAAAATAAAATGCGCTCAATCCAATCAATAGATGTGATGGGCGAACATCGATTCTGATTTTGATGGGGAACACTGCCTGACTATAAAGGAAATGAATGAAGAACTGTAAAATGTGAAGGTAAATGTAACAGATACAAATACATTGTTGTTTTAAAAGAAGAAATAGAATAAACGGAGCAGAAGCAATAAGATAAGTTTGCTGGAAGAAAATTGTAGAAAATTTCCTAACCTTGTAGCTCTCTCATGATCTCATTCTGCTGTGTCTGGCTTTCAACTACAGGGAGCCCTGACCCTTCCCAGAATATCCGTTATCTCTTATCTTGTCCCATGTGATCCATTATTTCAGCAACACATAACTCTCTTATTCCTTTGTGCAGGGTCTGATTAAATCAAGCAAATACAAACTCTGAGTGAATCTTACTTTCTTACTTTCTCCCTCTGCACTCCAATAACCGAATGCTGGTCCAGCTTTGCAGATTGACCTCATTAGAAATGCATGGTGTCCAACCTCAGCTGAGCCTTTCAAATAGGGTTTCAGTCTCTGTGTTTGCTTTTGGATACATCCTGTTCCCATTTTCACAATAGCCAATTCAAACCATGAACATTCCAATACTTTTAAGTATCTGCTGATCAAAGCATGCCCTCAAATTAAATGGCAAATGCAAACTAAGAAATGTAGCATTGACAAAGGGTTAAAGTTTATAACATATAAAGAGCTCTTACAAATCAATAAAAGGTAAACATACCAAAAGAAAAGTGGACAAAGGACAAGAATCAGCAGTCTACCAAAGAAAAAATACAAATGGCTGATAAAGCACAAACAGCTCAAATTCTAGCACTTAAACCAGTGGTTCTCAACCTGTGGGTCGCGACCCCTTTGGCGGTCGAATGACCCTTTCACGGGGTCGCCTAAGACCATCCTGCATATCAGATATTTACATTACGATTCATAACAGTAGCAACATTACAGTTATGAAGTAGCAACAAAAATAATTTTATGGTTGGGTCACAACATGAGGAACTGTATTTAAAGGGCCAGAAGGTTGAGAACCACTGACTTAAACAAATGCAAAATGAAAGCATCAATCAGATTAACATTTTATTTTACAAATTTCTCAAAGATTAAGTATTTAACTTCTGTTTGGGGGAAAGTGTGGGGAGATGAGTACTCGTATGTAGTGCTGATGGGATTGTAAATTGCTATAACGTCTCTAGAGAATGATTTAGGAGCATCTGTCAAAAGCCTTAAAAACATATACCATATAGCAAGCAATTCCACATCTCAGAACTTATCCTGAGGAAATAATTAGGGATATGGGCAAAAATTTTATTATGAGGACAGTTGATCTCAGAACCGTTTATAATAGTAAAAATACCAGAAAATTGAGTAAATTTTAACTGAAGTAGAAAGATGTTTATGGTATGTTGTTAACTGAATAAGGCCTGTTATCATTCAGCATTTGAGGTATAATACCATTTATGTGTGTGTGTTTGCATGTATATGTAACCACATTTTACTGTAAATTATTACCTGAATGCTGGGTTTGTGTGAGTATCTGTCTGTGCATTTTTAATTTAATTTTGCTTAGCTATATTTTAAGTATTCTATACTTCATTGATACTACTTAAATAATAAGTGGCATTATTTTATTGGCACTTAAATTTTTGAATTCTATCATACACATTTTTTAAATTACTGCTCTCTTACTCTTTTCTGACTTTCAAATTGTGTATCTAAATGCCTTTTACATTACCAGTTGGATGTGCCATAAGCATTTGAAATTCAACCTAGCCTAGAATGGAATATTGTTCTTCTCTTTAAACATGCTCCTTCTTTTGTGTACCGTCTAGGGCAGTGATGGCGAACCTATGACACGCGTGTCAGAGGTGACATGCGAACTCATTTTTTTGGTTGATTTTTCTTTGTTAAATGGCATTTAAATATATAAAATAAATATCAAAAATATAAGTCTTTGTTTTACTATGGTTGCAAATATCAAAAAATTTCTATATGTGACACGGCACCAGAGTTAAGTTAGGGTATTTCAAAATGCTGACACGCCGAGCTCAAAAGGTTCGCCGTCACTGGTCTAGGGTACTACCTACACAAGAAATATAATTTTTAGCCTTTGATACACCTTCTTCACTGCCTATATCCAATTGCTTAGGGTTGGTCCATTTTACCGCTTAATGTGTCCTCTCCACTTTATTCTCACCGCTACTGAGATGGTTCAAGCCCATCATGTTTTTGTCTGCCTGGCCATAATGGCATTTCCTATGACATCTGCGTCCATTCTTGCTCCACAGATTGTATTTTGTAGCAAAATGATCTTTTCAAAATGTAGGTGTGATGATCCACTTCTTTTTATTGTTTAGAATCCTTTAGTGGATCCTCACTATCTCTGGGATAAAACCCGAAAACTTTTGTATGGTTTCACAATTATAGAATCGTTTTCAGCTACATATAATAGAAAACCTTAACTTGGTGGCCTTAACACATAGGAGTTATCTTACCCACAAAACAAGAAGTCTGGAGGTAGGTGCTTGCTAGCATTCGTCCATGGACTTAAATATGTAGGGGTGAACCTCAGTGTGATTTTCATGGCTTTTCTTTTATGCTTGCCATCTCCTGGCTGCAAAGTGGCTGCTGCTGCTGTTGTCTTCATTCAAGAGCAAAAGAAGGCAGTGAAAGGAAGGATTTTCCAGTCCATCTACTCTCCTACTGGTATTTCATTGGCAGGAACTGTGTCACATGGCCATCTCTAGCTGCAAGAGAGGAAGGAAAAATGAGAATTTTTGCTTTTTTAACCTCTGAACCTGTGGTTCACAATCAGGGCTGATTTTGCCCTATGGTGGTATTTTAGGCAACGTCTGGAAACACCGTTGGTTGTCACAACTGGAGCAGGGAGGGGTGGCTGCCACTGATATCTAGCAGGTAGAGAAACAAATTTGCAATTTGCACAGGACAACCCCTGCACCAAAGAATTACCTGGTTAAAGATATCAACAGTGCTGGAGTTGGAAGAACATTCTCTAGAGTAGAGGCAATCCAGGGAGAAGGGGCTTGGGGATGGTTCGAGGTACTCCAATCTGCAGTTTGTTTTGTGCCTTCCCAGCCAGAGCATTTCCCGTCTGACCTTGACATTTCCATGCCCTTATTTAACTATAGCCCTCCCTGACCAAGGCCTCACTCTAGCCCTTTTAAACCATTTGCCAGAGCTTTCCTCGCCTCTTTGCTTTTGCACAATCATTTTTCTTTTCCAAGAATTCTTCCCTCCAGGCCTGGCCCGGCTAACTCGCTCCCAGTCTTCAGGACTCTCTCAGTGTCATATTCTCCCTTCACTACCCGCTTGGGCTTAGGGGCCCATCTGTGTTCTCCACACACAATTGTTTTGTTTCCCTCTATCTTAGCACATGGATTGGAGGAGTTAGTATTTCTTGTTTCAACAATTTGCAAGCCACCCCTTGGGATCGTACTACAATAATTTATAATGAGAGTGATCATTTTGTTGATAATAATAACTGCAATAATAACTTATAATAAGGTTGTTAGAAAATTTAAATGGAATAATTGCTTTTTGAAATTTAATTTTAAAAAAATCAATAGAAAAAATATACTTTGGTGAAGATTAAGTAAAATAAATAAAATTTTAAAAAAGATAAATATTACCAAATTGCCATATAAAGAGTTTTATCAGTTTACTCTTTATAAGAAGTATGAGAAGGTCCTGCAATAGTATTTTCAAACTGATGAATTTTCAACAGTCTGATAGAAGAAAAATAACATTCAAATGTCATTTTATTTTTGTTTTTCTAGGTCACGGGTCAGCATACTTTTCCTGTGAAGGGTCAGATCGTAAAGATTTTCAGCTTTGCAGGCTGTAGGGTCTCTGTTCTAACTGTTCAACTCTGCAGTGTAGCCTGAGAAAACATAAATGAATGTGCATGCCTCTGTGCCAATAATGCAGCTAGCTGGCCAGGTTTGGCTTGTGAGCCACAGTGTGCCGACCCCTGCTGGAGGCGAGCATCTTTTCATATGTTTAAGGACCATTTGTACTTATTATTCTGTCAACTATTCATATCTTTTGTCCATTTTCTTTATTGGTTGTTGCTCTTTTTCTTAATGCTCTCCCTAAGTGCTCTTTATATATCAGTCCTTGGCCTCTGTTACATATTTCAAATATTTTTCCTATTTGGCATTTGTCGTTTGACTTTGCTTATAGTAATTTTTTTCAATTCAGAAGTTTGGGGGGATCATGTTTTTTTATTTAACCAATATTCTTTGCGAGTGCAGCAGTGTGGGCATGTAGCAGTTAGCCAGAAAATGAATCACTTTTCCTATGAGCTTGTCATGAATAAGGTGGTCTCTTCTCAGCAGGGGACCCTAACCCACCATAACTCAATCATTTCATTAATTTGGGGATTTTTAGAAAGTACTGTAGTTTCTGTTTTATGTTATTTCCCTTTATACTGGGAATCCTGTGAGGGCTGAGAACCTTTATGGCTCTGGCCCCAAAGGCATTTCAGATCCACAGTAAATTTTTGTGGAATAAATAAAGGAACTATTTATTGACCTATAAAATTTTGGGGGGGAATTTTAGCAGTGGAATATCCCCTCCTGGAGAGGGTCTGGTGAAAGTGGTACTTTCATACACAACTAAGGGTAAGATAAATGAATGTATCTGAAAAGCCATTTGGCAATATGTTTCAAAAGGTATAAAAGTATGTATTCCGTTTGATACAGATATTCCTTTTCTGAGAATCCATCATAAGGCAGTAAGTAAAAGAAACAAACAAAATTAGAAGTGTGTGAAGCACAAAAATATTTCTTTCATCCTTATTTTTAATTTTAAAAAAGTAGCCACCTAAATATCCAAAGATAGAAAATGCTTTTTGTAACTTGGGGTGTATTCATGGGGTAGAATGCTATGTAGCCATTGTTAGGCCTCAGTGAGGGGAAGATAATGGACCAGTAAAGAAAGATGCTGGGCACTGTAGGAGATGTGTATCCTTGAGGGAGGGAGGAATAGGTGGAGCTCAGGAGATTTGTAGGGCAGTGAAAACACTCTACGTGACATGAAAACATGTCAGTATACATTTGTCCAAACCCATAGATTGTACCACCAAGAGGAAACCTTAGTGTAAACTATGAACTTTGGGTGAGATGATGTGTCATACAGGTTCGTCAGTTGCAACAAATGTACCACTCTGTCAGGGGATGTTGATAATGGGAGAGGCTAGACATGTGTGGGGCTGGGATTATATGGGAAATCTCTGTACTATAATCAAGTAAATATAAGTAAATAGCTACAAATTTATATGAGGGAAAATAGAAGAGAAGGAAATTCACTTTACTACCTATTCACTTTGTGAGATTACGGTGATTTTATAAATGTTTTCCATCCTCTACTCTTTTAATGTTGTACTATTATATATAAAATATGTATTGTATATACATACACATGCATATATACACATACATACATCTACATACATATTTATCCGCATATAATAACACTATTAACTGGTCTTGTAGAGCTTGTGTATTATTCATGATTTAATTCAGTAATTGAAGAGATATACGCCATAAGCAAGGCACTGTGCTGGATGCTCTGGGAATCCAACATGACTCATGGATTTGCCTTCAAATTTCTCACTGTTTATGTGAGGAAAATGATAGTTACATAACTGATTGTAATACAACTACGTAAAGTGCTGCCTAGTTTGGAGGGGCTAATTAATCACACTCTTCCTCCCTTTCAGACTCAAAGGAGCGGGAAGAGCGTCAGAACACAGTATCAGCTCCTGCAGCCGTTAGGCCAGATCAGAGAAGGGGTCAGGGCTTCTGTCTAGCTCCCCTGAATCCTAGGGCTGTGGGACTGCAGGTCTGTCGCGCTGCAGGTGAAGAAAAGTGAGTGGATGGGTCAGGAGGGTGGCCGGGCAGTGGACAGCCTCTTCTGAGGTATGAGGGGGGGAGGATAAGGGAAGAGGGGAAAATGAAAGAGATGAACGCAAAGGAGCACACACCACAGCTCGCCTATGGGGACAGTGCTTTTCCAACACGCCTCCTTCCTGGGAAACAGCAGGCCAGGGATGGGAGGAGGAGGAAAGAAGCTCCTCCAGCATCCGGGGAGGGGAGGGCAGGAGGGTTAGTGGGAGTCTTCACTTTTCTATGCGGAGGGGCAGAGCCCCATTAAGAGACATCCTGCTGTGCCTTACAAGTTCCCAGAAGGGCTTATGCTGAATACTCCCTGATTCCACACAGGCTCCCATTAGGATCCTGAAGGCCTATTTTTAACACTTTTTTTTCCACTGAAGGGACGGCAGGCTTTGGGGCCCACAAGAAAGTTCAGGGAGGGAATTAAATGTTCCACCTGCAGGGCCACCAGCAGACCTGGCCTGGACTGGTGCTGCTCTCTGCCCCCTCGAGTCTGCAGGGCACTGTCTGGTCTGACCTCGGGGGTGCAAATGATATTAGCCCCAGGACCTCCACAGAGAGCTTCTTCCTGCCCAGGAAAACAATGACCCTGCAGGAAGCGAGATACAGCAATACATGTATTTTTATTTATTGAGGGAAAACAATGACAATAGCCCTCCCCACTCCGCTTCCTGGGCCATTAACAGCTGTCTGGATCTGCTCAAGACCAGGGTAGATCACTGGCCAAGAGGAAGTGACCTGGAGTGGAGAAGAGAAAAACATAACCACGAGAGAGCTACAGTTTTGATGTTTGCAGAAGAATGACGAAGAAAGACAAAACAGTTTATGTTAGCTCCGAAAATGAGCCCTGAGTCACCGCGCAGGACCCGGGGAGGCCCCATAAACTCCCTGGTGCTTTGGGCTTGCTTTCAGCGGGCTTCTCTGGGAATCCATGTCTGAGATTGCTGTAGGCAAAAGAGGATGTTTTCTGATCGGCTGGCAGGACAGGATGGACTAGTTAAGCTAGAGGGAGAACAGTGGTTTCCAAGGTTCAGTTCAGTAACAGGTGGGGTGAGGACAGGGTATGAAAGAAGACAGAGACAGACACTCAGAGGGATGAGAGGGTGGGATGAGAAAAGGAAGGAAAGTAGAGGGACAGAGGGAGGAAAACAGGTAGATTAGATAGATGGGTGGATGGGAAAGAGGGAGATAGAGATGATAGATGGTAAGTTGATAGATGGTAGGTAGATAGATAGATAGATAGAGAGAGAGATAGATATGAGAAGAAGAGGGAGGGAGGGAAGGAGGGAGGGAGGAAGGAAAGAAGAAAGAGAAAGGAAGAAGGAAAAGAGGAAGGAAAGAAAGAAAACATCTCTACCTGGTTTGGCTCAGTGGATAGAGCATCGGCCTGTGGACTGAAGGGTCCCAGGTTCGATTCCCAGTCAGGGCACATGCCTGGATTGTGGGCTCGATCCCCAGTGTGGGGCGTGCAGGAGGCAGCCGATCAATGATTCTCTTTCATCATTGATGTTTCTATCTCTCTCTCCCTCTCTCTTCCTCTCTGAAATCAATAAAAAAATATTTTGAAAGAAAACAGTGAGTTATTTACTTAATGCCTCTCTTTGCCAGGATCTCGGATAATCCCTTTATGCTGGTCACCTGTCATACCTTTAACCTTCACCACAGTTCAGCAGGCTAGGTGGGTAGTGTTATTTTTGTTTGAAAGATGAGGCTGAGCTAAAGCTTCAATGCAGGTCTGCCTGGTGGTTTTCCACTCTGGTCAAAGCATCGGTTTGCAAATCTTTTCTAGAAAGCCCTCTCAGAGCTCCATATCTCCACTTCACTTTTTTACTCACTTTTGTGTTTTCAGAGATCCTTCTTCATGCTCCTATTGCAGCACTTTCCTTGGTACTGGAGCCAATGGGTCACTTCCCTGCTGGAATGTTAAGCTCCACCAGGCAAGAGCTCTCTGAATCCTCCCAGTGTTCGCTGAGTATCAACTGGGATACTCAATTTTAGCCTCCTTCATGGCAATATGAGTCCCATCGTCACATTAGCTAACACCTCTAGCATGTCACACAGTTATTATCACTGTTTTGTGCTAGAACAATTAAGATGTACTTACTCTCTTAGCAACTTTGAAGTCTGTAATATAATATTGTTGTCTATAATCTCTACGCTATGCATTAGATCTCTAGAACTTATCTACTGATTGCAAATTTGTACCCTTAAACATCTCCCCAATTCTCCTGCACCACAGGCCCTGGGAATCAGCATTCTACTCTGTTTTTATGAGTTTAACTTTTTAATCCACATATCAGTGATATGATACAGTATTTGTATTTGCTAATTTATCTCAATTTTAGCATAATGCGCTCCAAATCCATTCATGTTGTTGCAAATGGCAGAATTTTTTCCTTTTTATGGCTGAATTTTCTTTATTTATTTTTTTGCTGGTGGACATTTAGGCTGTTTCTATGTGTTGGTTATTGTGAATAATGCTGCCATGAATATGGGAATGCAGGTCTCTCTTTGAGATAGTGATTTCATCTTCTTTGTCCTTGATCATCTCAATAGAGGTAGAAAAAGCATTTGACAAACTACAGCATCTTTTGATGATAAAACCCTCAACAAATTAGGTATGAAAGGAACATACCACAATATAATAAAATCATAAATGCCAAACCCACAGCTAACATCATATGCATTGGTGAAAGCTTTCAATTGCATAAACAAAAGTTCCACCCTTTTACTTCCCTCTTTATATTTTTGCTATCACAATTTACCTCTTTTTATATTGTATATTTATTAACAGATTATAGTAGTTAGTTATTTTTATTACTCTTTTCCTTTAACCTTTATCTTATAGTTAAGTGGCTCACACACTCTCCTATTACAGAACTAGAGTTTTCTAAGGCTGACTGTATATTTACCTTTACCAGTGTGTTGTATACTTTCATATGTTTTCATGTCACTAATTAGCATTTTTAAATTTCAGCTTGAAGAACTTTCAGCATTTCTTGTGATGAACTCTCTCAGCTTTTGTTTCTCTGGATAAAGTATTTCTCCTTCAGATCTGGATAGCTTTTCCAGATAGAGTATTCTTGGCTGACAACTATTTTCTTTTAGCACTTTGAATATGTCATTCTACTTTCCTAGCTTGAAGGGTTTCTGCTGAGAAATTTGTGGACAGCCTAATGGGGGTTCCTTTGGAGCTTGCAATATTTTCTTAGCTGCTTTCAGGATTCTTTCTTTTTCTTTGATTTTTGACAGTTTCATTATAATGTATCTTGGAGGTCTTTTTGCATTGAGGTAGAAGGGTGATCTATTAGCTTTGGGAACTGGGATATCTAAGGCTCTCCCAGGTTTGGGAAGTTCTCAGCTACTACTTCTTTAAATAAACTTCCTGACTGCTTCATCCTCTTTTCTCTTTCTGGAACATAAATTATGTTAATATTTATAAGATGGAATCCCACTGATCATGTAGGCTTTCTTCACTGTTGTATATCTCCCCACCCCCCTTCACCTCTAATTTGGTTATTTCAAGGTTTCTATCATGTAGGTTGCTTATTCTGTCTTCCATTTGATTTACTCTGCTGCAGATTCCCTGTATTGAATTTTTTTCAATCATTGAATTTTTCAGCTCCAGAATTTCTGTTTGGTTCTTTTCTAAAGTTTCTATCTCTTTGATAAACTTCTCATTTTGTTCATGTATTTTCTTTTCCTGATTTTGTTGAATTGTCTTTTGTGTTTGTCTTTCATTGTTTCCTCAAAACAGCTATTAAATTTTTTATCCACTAGATTGCAAGATTCTATGTTTTGAGCTTGGTTATTTGGAAGATTATTATCTTTTGGTGATGACGTGTTTTATTTATTCTTCATGTTTCTTAGTTTTGCATTGCTGATTTTGCCTTTGATGTAGTGGACACCTCCTCAAATCTTTACTACTTGTCTTCACATGGGGTGCACTGTTTGTTGATCCTGTTATATTCGGGGTACTCCCTGACCTTGTATTTGTACACCTGTTCTGCACTTCTTGCTTCTTCGTGTAGCAAAATTCTTAAGCTTTTATGTTTTTTCTGCTTTTTACAACTCACCTGGCAGGTTGCTGGAAACCATTCTTTTATTTTCCAGAAGGTGGTGCTATAGATCAAGTTTCTGTATTGACAATGTTTTCTACTTTATTATCTACTCTTCTCTTTGTAACTATAATTTTTATTTATTTTATTTACATTCCTATCATTTGGTGGGGATTTCACGTATGTTTAATATGCTGTGTTTAGGCTGATAGGACCTTTTTGGGTGCAGTTTAGAAAGCATAAAACTTTGAAATGCTTATGCCCTTTGATGCAGCTATTTCTAGATAACTAACCTGTAGAAATAATTCTGCTTTTACATAAAGAGATGTATACAAGGATGTTGACTCCTTGGTAGCATTGATCATAATAGTGAAAAATCTGAGACAATAAGAAAATGATTACATGCCGAAACCGGTTTGGCTCAGTGGATAGAGCGTCGGCCTGCGGACTGAGGGGTCCCGGGTTCGATTCCGGTCAAGGGCATGTACGTTGGTTGCGGGCACACCCCCAGTGGGAGATGTGCAGGAGGCAGCTGGTTGATGTTTCTCTCTCATCGATGTTTCTAACTCTCTCTATCCCTCTCTCTTCCTCTCTGTAAAAAATCAATAAAATATATTAAAAAAAAAATGATTACATAAACAGAACATCATTGCAGCAAGCAAAGAATGCTGCCCTGGTGGGGTAGCACAGTTGGTTCGAGAGTTGTCCCATACACCAAAAGGTTCGATCCCCGGTCAGGACATGTACTGGAGCAACCGACTGATATTTCTCTCTCACATTGATCTCTCTCTCTCTCACTCTTCCATCCTCTCTTTCTAAAAATCAATAAACATATCCTCGGGTGAGGATGAAAAAAAGTTTAAAAAAGTGCTGTTGATGTGTCTGGAAATCTCTATAAGAAACATTCTTAAATTTAGAAAGCAAATGTATATCACATATTATCCCATTTAGAGTCTTAAAAACCCTGCAAAACACTGTATCTTAATTCATAATTACCAATGAATATAGATTTTGGGAAACTTAATTGCTGGTGTCAGTTGTAGGTCCTATCAGATTGACCATGCCCTCTTACTCAAGGCCAGGCATGTCCCATGTGAAAAGGAAAGCTGTTCACTCAAAGGCTCTCATTCTGTTGAGCATATCATATAACAATCATCACTGGATGCACTAATCCTATTGCTTATCTATAGGATGATTATTTTCTTTTCTCACCAAAGAAGGACTCAGATTCCTCCTCTGCAAATTAACCTGTTGAGGTCATTCCAAAATGCCTACACTGGCTTTCAATACGTGAATGTATAAATTATCTATTATTGCAAGGAAAATGACCTCAAAACTTAATGACTTAAAGCAACATACATTTACTATCTCTCAGCGTCTGTGGGTCGGTGATCTGGGTTTGGCTTGGCAGGTTCTCTGGTTCAAGGTCTCCCACCAGGCTGCTTTCAAGGCCAGGGCTGTGGCCACCTCAAGACTCCACCAGGGGATTCACTTCTAAGCTCACTGACGTGGCTGTTGACATGATTCGGTTCTTTGCAGGCTGTTAGCCAGAGTCCAAGCTTAATTCCTCACTTTGTGGGCTTCTGTCGGGCAGCTTGCAGCATGGCAGCTGGCTTCATCAGAGTGAGCAACTGAGGAAAGCCAGAGAAAGAGCACGAGCAAATTGGAAGTTAGCCTTATGTCACCTAATCTTAGACTCATCCATCATGTTTGCTATTTTCTATTTATTGGAAGGAAGTCACTCGGTCTAGCCCACTAGGTCCAGCCCTCAAAGGGAGGTGCTTGCATTAAGAGTGGAATACCAACACGTGGGGGGCATCTTGGAAGCTGCCTACACTTGTTGACAAGGCCTGTGATGCTATATTCAGAATAAACAAGATAGTTTGACCTTGCCTTTATTTATAAACTAGAGGCCTGGTGCACAAAATTTGTGCAGGGGGGTCCCTCAACCCTCTCCAATCTGAGACCCCTCGGGGGTTGTCCGACTGCGGGATCAGGCCTAAACCGGCAATCGGACATCCCTCTCACAATCCAGGACTGCTGGCTCCTGACCACTCGCCTGTTTGCCTGCCTGATTGCCCCTAACCACTTCTGCCTGCCAGCCTGATCGCCTGCTAACCGCTCCCCTGCCAGTCTGATGGACACCTAACTGCTCCCCGGCTACAATAGCCCCCAACTGCCCTCCCCTGCCGGCCATCTTGTGACGGCCATCTGTGATGATGTGGGGCAGCCATCTTGTGATGGCGTGAGGGCCTCCCGCAAGGGCAAGAGGGCCACCTAGGCTTTTATTAGTATAGATTTCTCATCAAAAAAGGAGGAGGAGGGGGTGGGGGAGGAGGAAGAGGAGAAGGATGAAGGAGGGGGAGAAGAAAGAAGAATAAGCCCCAAAATGTGATTAATAGGTTATTCAAGGGGTTGCAGGAGTAAATTCAAAGGCAAAGATTTTTCTAGTATAGGCCAAAATAAACGTTAGACAGGTACACCTCTTCATGAAATGATATCTAAGCACAGTAGCTTGCGTATCGTGGTGTTACATATTTTTGTTTCTTTTAACTTTTTGAAATGATTTCAACTTTAAAGTTGCAAGAATAGGAAAAGAATCTCATACACTGCGCAGATTCCTCATTGGTGGATACTTATATTTTGAATACATTATGCATTTGTCAAGCGGGAAGGCAGTCTTTGTAACTCTTAACGCTTTGGGGCCAGGTGAGCGGTGTACAGGGCGGGCTGGAGCTGCCATCTCTCCAACGCTCTCTTCTCTCTCCTCCTCCAGAAAACCCCAAGCGAGCAGCGCTGTACTTCGTCTCGGGCGTGTGCCTTGGGGCTGGTCCTCACCCCTGCTGCGCTGGTGATGAGGCTGTCCTGCCGCGTGGACTGTCGGCGGCGGTCCCGTTCCCGGAAGAAGTCTGCCGGACCAGGAGAGCAGCAGTGACAGCAGCGACAGCAGCGACAGCGAGGATGGCAGCTCTGACATCTCGGTCCGCAGACACCGCCGCTTCGAGAGGACTTTGAACAAGAACGTCTTCACGTCGGCGGAGGAGCTGGAGGCCCGCGCAGCGGCTGGAGGAGCGGGAGCGCATCATCAGGGAGATCTGGATGAATGGGCAGCCCGAGGTGCCCGGGACCCGGAGCCTGAACCGCTACTACTAGGGCAGGCGCAGGCCCCCGCACCGCTGGGAGCAGGACCCCGCACCCCCGGGAGACGGGGAGCGGGGCTGCAGGGGGGGTGGGCGCAGAGCCGAACGCAGTTCTGCTAAGGTTACCGCGGACGCCGAGAGACAAGCAGGTCACCCCCGCTTTCTAGCCGGGAGGACTGATCCCTCCTTCTGACTAAATGCGTGGCCAAGTAGAAAACGCCAGTCGGTCCCCCCACCTTTCCGGGTCTTGGAATGGTGCTGAAAATCCCTCTCCAACAATGTGGATGGAGATGAGAGAAACAGGACTGTGGTTTCTCTTGATTTCTGAGGATCTCAGAAGTTGCTGCAGACTTCATGGCTACGTGTTATTCCTTTACAAAAGGAAAGATGTGCCTAGCGCGAGGGCTAGGGGCTGCAGGGTGAACGTCACGCAGTAAACGCAGTTTTCTAAGTGACTCCATGGTGTGGAGGGGATTCCGATGCCGATAGCATGA